GTAGGATTGGCCCTAGTCTCTTTCGGTTTCATATAATTTTTGTGATATTCATGGTTTATTTGACGATATATACGGTCGTATATTGTGACGACTGGTCAATAACGAATTGCAAAATGGAACGAAAGGAAGCGATCACAACCTATTTTAATTTATCGTCCCGACATTCGCCTCGAAGAAATGTAAAACACCAAGAAGAAACCTTAATCAGGAAGATCGATGCCCCCATGCAGATTAGAACCCCTTACTTACTTACTTACTTACTTACTTACTTACTTACTCATGGGGCTGAACCCTTCTGGAGGAACCGCCAATTCTGCAGCTACTCAAGAATTTACCAGCATTTTATGGAACCCGAAGGTTCATTACCGTGTTCACAAGAGCCTTCCACTGATCCCTATCCTGAACCAGATCAACCCAATCAATACCATCCCATCCTATCTCTCTAAGATTCATTTTAATATTATCCACCCACCTACGCCTTTGTCTTCGCAGTGGTCTCTTTCCTTCTGGCTTTCCCACCAATATCCTATATGCATTTCTCGTCTCCCCCATTCGTGCTACATGTCCTTCCCACCTCATCCTCTTTGACTTGATCATTCTAATTATACTTGGAGAAGATTACAAGTTATGAAGCTCCTCATTATGCAGTTTTCTCCAACCTCCTGTCACTTCATCCCTCTTTGGTCCAAATATTCTTAACACCCTGTCTATGTTCCTCCCTTAATGATTAGAACCGCTTCCTTCTGGAAACAGTTCAGAAGCGTTACCGCGTGCATCAGGAACGTAGTTTGAATTTGGGAGCAGGGTGTTGCAGGGAATACTTCAGCAAGGCGGAAATGTATGGTGGGTGACGAGCTCCATGGGCAGAACCTTTTCGGGTTCCTCGCTTCAAGAGGAATAGGATTGACGCGACATGTAGCACCCGTGGAAATGGTGAAAAATTTAACCGTAGTACGAATGCCCGAAGGAAAGAGTCAATTTGCGAGTTCTAGACGTAAATGGGAGAATATTATCTAAATAGATGCTAGAGAATGAGGGACGTGAAAGTTTGAGCTGAACACGCATTGTCTGGGGCGTGTCGAGTGACAGATTTGTGAACACGGGAAACTGCAAGACGTTAGCCAGCTGGGCCACTACAAGTTTCGGAAGGAAGACTCAGCTCTAGAGATACAGATGTCTTCCTGATTGGTCAATAATGATTTTTACCGAGTATGTAAATTATGTGTTGTAGCCTAATTTGTTGAACACTACCGCTATTTGTCTGAAGCGTGGTCATAGGAAAAGCACGAAAATCTAACTCATTGTAACCGGCTTCCATCAGAGATGTGAATTCAGGACCTCCCGATTATGGGAGGGATGGGATGACGCAATCCGTATAGGAACTGGCTACGGGTTGAACTGTCGAGGGATCGGAGTTCGCGTTTCGGTAGGGGCAATTTTTCTCCTTTCCACCCAGCCTGCTACTCAATGGGTAACCGGATTTCTTTCCCCTGGGGTAAAGGTACCATTCTCCTAAAGAAGTGCGGAGTTCAAGAATGCGTGGATCTATATATCCATTCCACCATACATCTTCATGTCCTAGTGATTCATTAGCTAAGCACACGGACAACTTTACCTTTTTTACCCACTCATCTCCGCCTGATATCAGTGTAAGACAAATGTACAATGCAAAAATTTGGTTTAGAAACCATCGTCTATAATTATAGACTCTACCTACGCATGAGCGATGGGCTATTTTAAGACAATGCTGTCTCACGGTACAGGCAATCAAGCGGTAACGCCTATCTGAAACATGTTAACTGCTACGTCATGCCTTGAGTAGGCAACCTTACGGAAGAAAATTCCCTTTGTGTTTAGCGACAGAGAAACTGAGGTTAAAACGAGCTGTCACTATTTGATTGTGAAGTTGATTTTAGAGATCTCCTCTGTGGTCTAGTGGTCAGCGTTCTTGGCTACAGATTCAGAGATCCGGGTTCGATTGCCGGTGCTAACACATTTTTTTCTGAGAAGTAGTGGGTCTGGAACGGGGTCCACTCAGCCTCGTGGTGATAATTGAGGAGCCATTTCAAGGAAATATCGGCTCCGGTCTAGAAAATCGAAATTAACTGCCGTGGGGATTCGTTCCTCTGACCACGCGACACTCTCTATCCGCAAAAGTTGGCACTATACTTTGCCGACAAGGGGCTGTCGCTCGGTCGGTATAGTTCGCTTGCGGACTAAAATTCATGGAGTTGATTTTAGACACGCTTATAATAAGCAAATCTCTCCTGTGTATTCAGCGAGACGTCCGGTATGATGAGTTTGTTCTTTATAATGAGAGAAATTGAATATCATAACTTTATAAAGAAGAATATAACAAGCTACGTCACTATCTGATTGTGACGTAACATACGCGGTTATAATAAGCAGAACTTGCTTTTAACTAACTGTCGAGAACGGGAATGTTTGTTCTTATCGTATGGGGCAATAAAATGCCGCATCTTTATAATGACGACATACTTGTCTGTGTGATGGCATATCCTGCGAAATGTTTAAGACACAATTATATTCTTAATAAAAAATCTCACAGAGTTTCACGTCAGTCAGCGAGTCTTTCCGGGAGGGAATTACAGCGCCCTTTGTCATCTGCCCAGGAATATCTCCTTGACGCAGAGGCTGGAAGCAGATGACGTATTTCAGTTTATCTGCCTACAGCCGATGAAAAGACCACGCAGAAACATTGTAATAACTCTAAGGAGATGAGTCAATTCGATAAATCCTATGTACAAATATATTTATTTCTTCTAACTTCAAACACTTCTGGCCATGATACTGGACATTGCTTCGTTTGATGTCCTAACAGTGGTGACCATGAAGAGTTCCGTGTCCTACGATGTGACGCCGTTTAGACCTGTAGACCTCGATTGTAGTTTTCGAGTCTTCTTAATCTTGTTTTTTTTTCTACGTTCATGCCCAGGACCGTACCTAACCACATTTTTACGTGCAGCACATTCACGTTTCTGCTTGCTCAGCATATATTCTGCTCTAAAGATGGAAGCAGTATGTTCCTCCGAAACATCGGTAAACTTCGTTATGACTACATGGTGTCACAACCCACAACACATTGGTCAAAATTATTCCCTACTTGGTTCATCGATCGAATTTACTAGAAACACCACGTTTCGAAGAATTCTTCTATTTCCATCTTCAGGTAAACAGAATATGAAAACAAAGTTACTCTGTTGGGTGTGTTGGTAGAAATACTCTCGAATCGGGAACCTATATAAGGGGGAAGACGAAATTCTGGCCCCTGTCCGGCCCGCAAACTTATTGTGAAAATTCTTTTAATTTAATTTGTATCATTATGTGACTAGAGACGAGGTTTGGGTTGGAAACTGAATTTATTGAACACTTACAGAATAACCACAAATAACTACGACAGTCACACTGAGTTACACACTCCAAAGACCACTGTAACTATAGCACATACGAATTCTTCTCAGTCTTCATTAGCCGTTGCTTTGTATCGGCTTCTAACAGCGGATGTTCCCCTTCTTCTGGTCTCCCAGAAATTTTCCTGACCTCAGCTACCAGCCTCTCACTTCTCACAACTGCAACTTTCCACTGACGCGTCGCAAAATTGTTGCTGGCCCTCGCCAGCACAGAGATTTTTGTTTCCGAGTTTTACTGTCTAACGGCTCTGAGAGCTTTCAGTCCTTGTTATACAGTCCCAGCACGGATCGCACAGAAAAGTCTCTTCCATTATTGCGGGGTTTCTTGTTGGCGGTGAAACTTATCCACAGAGCTGTTCCCTAGCAACGGATGTACTGTCGCCTGTTTACACAGTTGTTACTTGGCAATGGGCAATTTTGAGGAACGTCAGTGATATTTCATTGATCTTCCAACCGTGCAAAACGTTTATCTGCAGTTTATAATCCTAACTTTCTGCTATAATATTTCTGAGCAGTGTTTCTCTGAGGAGCTAGGCCTTTAAGTGCCAAAGCTGCCGGAGTAATACGTGATGAAATTGCCAACGCTGTGATATAAAAGCAGTTGCAGATAAAAACACTAAAATCCTGTTCTCGAATGCCCTAAAACAGCAACAGATATACTTAACATGAAAGCCCGTATCTTCCTCTGATTATCCATAAGTAGCTCTTGATGCCATCTTTTGGCAGAAATGCCCGACCAACTGAATAACAATGAGCCGATTTCTTCGGCTGTGACAGCTTTGATGCAAGTATCCCGAACCGATCTATTCGGTACTAGTAGCACAAAGGGTGAAGGTGGGAAGGTTGATGCAGCTCTAAACATAAATTTGGGTCTCAAAATGTGTAGCTTATGTTGATCTGATGAAGAAAGATGAATACATTAAAATGCAGGCATTTCTAACGAGTTTTGTCAATTAGTAGCGAACACAATAAAAATGAAATCCTTGTGTGACAGAAGCATAAGTTGCATGACAAATGTTTAGATAAACTTATTATAATCGTCATAGCTGTGGCCTTATTTGAATGCTGGAGACTTGCCCAATCACGAATCAGCAAGGTTAAACCAAACCTAAATTTACCTGCTACTTTGTTAGCGGTGTTATGTTAAGGAACACATGTAATCTTCACGTGAAGGGCATAGAATTAATGTGTTTGACCGTCCGTGAATATTTAATTTCTGAATTATTAAACAGTCTACACCATCTCTTTTGAATCTTCTTCAGTAGACATGCCCTTGACCCCCGAGATACACCTCTCACATCTCTTGGTTCTGCAAGGAAATTTCACCTATTCCTTGGTCCCGAGAGAAACTTCACACATGCCTTGGTCGTCAATGGAAATCTCTCTTATTCCATGTTCCCAGAGAGACACTTCACACATTCCTTGTTCCCAGAGAGACACTTCACACATTCCTTGATCCTCAAGGAAAAACTCGCTTATCCGTTGTTCCCAGAGAGACACTTCACACATTCCTTGGTCCTCAAGGGAAAACTCGCTTATTCCTTGTTCCCAGAGAGACACTTCACATGTTCATTGTTCCCAGAGAGACACTTCACACATTCCTTGGTCCTCAAGGAAAAACTCGCTTATCCGTTGTTCCCAGAGAGACACTTCACACATTCCTTGGTCCTCAAGGGAAAACTCGCTTATCCGTTGTTCCCAGAGAGACACTTCACATATTCCTTGGTCCTCAAGGGAAAACTCGCTTATCCCTTGTTCCCAGAGAGACACTTCACACATTCCTTGGTCCTCAAGGGAAAACTCGCTTATTCCTTGTTCCCAGAGAGACACTTCACACATTCCTTGTTCCTCAAGGGAAAACTCGCTTATCCGTTGTTCCCAGGGAGACACTTCACATATTCCTTGGTCCTCAAGGGAAAACTCGCTTATCCCTTGTTCCCAGAGAGACACTTCACACATTCCTTGGTCCTCAAGGGAAAACTCGCTTATTCCTTGTTCCCAGAGAGACACTTCACACATTCCTTGTTCCCAGAGAGACACTTCACACATTCCTTGTTCCCAGAGAGACACTTCACACATTCCTTGTTCCCAGAGAGACACTTCACACATTCCTTGTTCCCAGAGAGACACTTCACACATTCCTTGTTCCCAGAGAGACACTTCACACATTCCTTGTTCCCAGAGAGACACTTCACACATTCCTTGTTCCCAGAGAGACACTTCACACATTCCTTGTTCCCAGAGAGACACTTCACACATTCCTTGTTCCCAGAGAGACACTTCACACATTCCTTGTTCCCAGAGAGACACTTCACACATTCCTTGTTCCCAGAGAGACACTTCACACATTCCTTGTTCCCAGAGAGACACTTCACACATTCCTTGTTCCCAGAGAGACACTTCACACATTCCTTGTTCCCAGAGAGACACTTCACACATTCCTTGTTCCCAGAGAGACACTTCACACATTCCTTGTTCCCAGAGAGACACTTCACACATTCCTTGTTCCCAGAGAGACACTTCACACATTCCTTGTTCCCAGAGAGACACTTCACACATTCCTTGTTCCCTGAGGGAAATTTAACCAAGTACACTTATAATGATCAAATCAAGGAGGATTTTTGACGGGAAAGCCAGAAGGAAAGAGACTACTATAAAGAACTAGACATAGGTTGATGGAAAATATTAAAATGGATCTTAGATAAATACGAAGGGATGGTATGGACTGGATTGATCTAGCCCACGATATTGACCAGTGGATGCTTTTTTTTTTTTTGAACACGGTAATGAATCTTTGTATTCCATAAAATGTTAAATTCGTGAGTAACCGCGCAAGTGGCAGCTTCCTAATAAGGGCTGCGCTTCATGAAATTAGTTATTTCTTTGAAATTCAGCCTACAATTCGGAAGAAAACTTCGCCTCCATCTTCAGCCGGGCAACAACCCAGTGTGCAAGTAACTATCCAGAAGTTAGAACTCTTAATAACCACCTCAGTGTGACTCTCAAGTCCTACAGAATGCTGACTCTCTATTCATTCAGCTGGCCTATGTATCTTTGATTTCTTTCCAAGCTGGGCATCACACAGCAGTGATCAGTTACTCGTGGATTTACTTTTCGTTTGTTATAAGGGAAAAGTCCTGCTCTTTCTCAGGTACTTCTTTTACAATTCCTTCTGCGTACTCGTCTCTTAATTATTATTATATTTTACCGAGTTACTACAAATGATTCATTCCATTTCAAAACACTATATTCCCTTAAGTATTATACATACAAATATGATTGATGCATAAAAAGAACCGCAGACTCACCAAGTTTGCATCATGATACACCAGTTGGCAGCAAGAATGCAGTGCATCACAAAATGGCGACGAAGCTGGAAAAGAGTTTCTGTGTGTTGGAATATTCGAGATGTTCGTCTGTTATTGCAGTGCAGCGTGCATTCAGAGCAGAGCACAGAAAAGAACCGCAGACTCACCAAGGTTGCATCGTGATACACCAGTTGGCAGCAAGAATGCAGTGCATCACAAAATGGCGACGAAGCTGGAAAAGAGTTTCTGTGTGTTGGAATATTCGAGATGTTCGTCTGTTATTGCAGTGCAGCGTGCATTCAGAGCAGAGCACAGAAAAGATCCGTCATGTAAACAGAGGATTCTGCGGTGGTATGGGCAGTTTAAGGATACTGGTTGTCTGTGTAATACTTTGGAAAATATAGTGTTTTGAAATGGAATGACTGATTCATAGTAACCCTGTATATTATTGTTAGTGGGGTGAGACTGAGTCCACTTGGCGCGTCAGCCACTAATTTAGTCTACTGTACCAGCCCCTTGTGATTTTGGAGCAATTGGTGGAATTAAGATTGGTAGGGGAAACCTAAATACTCGGAGAAAACCATCCCCCAGTGACACTTTGTCCACCACAAGTCCCACATTACCTGATCCGGGCTCGAACCCGGGCCGCCCGAGGTGAGAAGCCGGCGACGCCTGAGCTATGGCATCCCCCACCCCCAAAATTACAAGTATGCTGTCCGTTTATATAAACCTTGTTCTGGGAACAGAAAGAGAGGTCCTCCTTCAAAACCAAACAGCTAATGAATGACATTCTGCGTCAGACTAAGATGAAATAAACTATAGCAATAATGCACTTGGATGTACAATTTTGTATGGGTGGGAAACTTGGTCTCCTAAATTGAGGAAGCAACATAGACTGAGGATGTTTGAGGAGAGGGTCCTGAGGAGTATATTTGAGTCCAAGAGGAATTAAGTGACGGGAGATTAGAGAAAATTCATAATTAGGAGCTTCATAAAACGTACTCTTCGCCAAATATAATTAAAATGGTGAAATCAAGGAGGATGAGATGGGCAGGACATATAGCATGCATGGTAGGGAAGCGGAATGCATATAGGGTTTTGGAGGAAAATACGGAAAGGAAAAAGCTGTTAAGGAAAGCTTACCTTATGTGGGATAATAATGTTCAAATGGAACTGTGAGAAATAGTATGTGGTCATATGGACTGGATTTAACTGGGTCAGGATAGGGACCAGTGGAGGGCTATTGTGAATACGGTAAAGAACCTTCGGGTTCCATAAAATGTTGACATTCTTGAATAGCTGAGCGACTGGCGGCTTCTTAAAATGTATCTCCATGTAGTTAGTTCGTTAGTTAATTAGTCAAAAGGTAAAGCTATCCCTGCAAAAAGTCATGAAGGCCCTTAGGGATGTGAGACGTCGAGGCGCCCACATTTTCTATACAATCAGCTTATAGGTGACGATGAGGTTGTGAGCCTTACGCGCCGGCTTTTTTTTTCCTTGGCACTACAGCCCCAGTGGGCCTAGGCCTACCTCCATGAACTCCGTTCACTTCGGTTTTACTAGATCTTACATATTCGGTAGGACTCCTTGGGCGGGTGATCAGCTCGTCGCAAGGCCTCTACCTGTACGCAAACACAGAAAAACGCACGCACACAAACTAAACATCCATGCCCTGAGTGGGATTCAAACCCACGATCCCGGTTTCCAAGCGAGCAAAGAGAGTACATGCCTTAGACCGCTCGGCTACCGTGACCGGCCGGCCGCCCTTTACCCTAAGGAATATTCCTGGTACTCATTTCTGTTTGAGTCTGAGTCGACCCCAGGGCCGTAGTGCGGCTGGAAGGATTAGGTAAATAAACATGCATAAGTCGGACAGGCTCGAGTGAGCAGCTGATGACTGCTGTATGGAGGAATCTCGTGTTTGCCAGTTGCATGCTACGTAGGAACTGCTGAGTTAGCTGTCCGTATTCCGAACGTGTCTTCTCTTATATGATGCCATGTTGTCTGATACAACTGTACCGAGGATTATGTGAAAAATGCTGCCTACATCTTCAGGGGCGAAAATATTGTCACGTACTTAATGGTGCGTGGTTTGGGTATTGGATTTATTGACACAACTCGGAACTACAAGTAATTACAGCCCCAGCGAAGACTTTATTTCCCACCCTTCTGTGTCTTCAACATCCGTTGCCTGGCAACAGCTTCTAACAATGGAGATTCTTCAGCTTACAGACCTCAGGTCCTCTTGTCAAGTTCATCACCTCAACTATAGCGCCATCTCTTCTCAGCCTACCTTGCGAGCTCAACTCTCTGCTACAAACACTCAGTTGTCTCTCGATCATTCCTCAGCTGGCCTGGTGTCCTCGTTATATATCCTCGGTGCAGACTCAACAGAACACGCCGTTTTCAAAAATTCCTATATTGTTGCTAGCGTATTCGTTGCAGCAGGAACTTATTTATCGACTAGCAATGGACGTCTCCTCTGGCTTCACTATTCCAGCCTTCAGGCAACATGTAAAATATGTGAAGGAAATAAACAGGCATAAAGCAAAGAGAAAGCTTCTTTGTCAGTTTCAAAAACTATTTTATATTTTACGGTTTATGTTTTCATATCTTTTTAGAATCCATTAATATCTGTAATGTTGGCACGATAGACGAAATATTTGAAACGGAATTGATAATTTTATTGACTCAATTTTAACGTTGTATATCACACTGTTTGTATTTAGATGAATTATGAAAATATAATTAGAATAAGTATAATTAGAATGATCAAGTCGAGGAAGGTGAGATAGACAGGGCATGTAGCACGAATGGGGGGAGACGAGGAATGCGTATAGGATATTGGTGGGAAAGTCAGAAGGAAAGAGACCACTGGGAAGACCAAAGCGTAGGTCGGTGGACAATATTAAAATGGATCTCAGAGAGAGATAGGATGGGATGGTATGGATTGGATTGATCTGGTTCAGGATAGGGACCAGTGGAGGGCTCTTGTGAACACGGTAATGAACATTTGGATTCCATAAAATGCTGGGAAATTCTTGAGTAGCTGCAGAATTTGCGGCTCCTGCAGAAGGGCTCAGCTCCATCAGTAAATACGAAAATAGGAAAAACTTTATGATATGCATCCTCTGGTCTCTCATTTACGAAAAGACAAAATTTAGGAAAGTCGCACAAGAAATCAAGAAGTAGCACAAGGCTTAAATTGAATTTTAATATTAGCTATAAATAACTTAATAGCCATTTTAATTAGGATTTTAATTTTATTTTAATTTTTATTCATTTAATACCAAGTTTAATGTTTAGTTTTAACTATATTTAAACCACATTTTAGAATTAAGATATAATTATCAGTATAGAATAAACATAACAGATACAGTGTAATTAATGACGCAGTTCAGAAGCTAAATTAGTATTCGTGTACTCCTGACGATGACCAAGTAAAGGGTAGAAACATGTAGCGATACCACCAACAACGAATAATACAAAATGTTGACACAGTAGTGTCTATTTGGTTTCTTTTTGATTATATTTTGTGCCACTGTCCCAAATTATATCTTTTCGAAAATAGCAACAGTAAAAGTATATCTTGAGACGAAAATATTCCCTTAAAGTTATTTCTGTAATATATTTTAAGGGAAAAGGCAAAGAACAAAGTCTTTATAGAATGTTGTATTTTAGCGTCCTGTTGCATTTATTTTCGTATTATGTATGCCTTGTCCGTCTTGTAGTGCACTCAATCTCACCTGTTATTTCACAACATGTTTCGGCACTACAGTGCCATCATCAGGTGCTCCATTTATGTTAATCTATTGCATTGCTTGCCATTATGTCATTGTAAAATTATTTTAAAAATATTTAAAATATTCGTCAATTATAATAATTTTTATATGTCCCAATTCAAACCCGCGCATGGTTCCTCCACTATGGGAGTCGTTCCTCTTATACTCCGTGTACGATGGGGTACCCAAAAGAAACCGAACTAATTTTTTTGTGGACAGAGCTTTTGTAGTACCGCGTTTTGCCGCTATGAGCGCATAGAGCCAACATTCCTGAGTCGATAAGCCGACTACCGTTGCTTCAGAAGGTAAGGACTAGTTTCGGCAGAGTTTATAGTGACAACTGTTTTGTGTCATCGTCGTTTTTACAATGGCCCGAACACATGAAAATGTTGAAAAAATTCGTGAAATCATCAAGGAAGATCGACGACGAACCATTAAAGAAATTGTGGAGCTGTCGGGAGTGACTTGGAGCTCAGTTCAGCGAATTTTGACAGAAGATTTGGGAATGAAAAGGGTGGCTGAGAAATTCGTGCCACGACTGCTGACTGCTGAACAAAAACAAGGTCGCGTGGAAGCAAGCTGTGCTTTGAAAGAAGAGTCCGGAAATGATCAAAACTTTTTTTCAGCGTTTTGCCGTTGTTGCTGAGGTGAAGGAAAAAAACGACGGAGGCGCTGTCAAGCATCTCAAAAGATGAATTTAGACAATGTTTTGAAAAATGGAATAAAATACTAGACAAGTGTATTAGTGTAAGTGGAGAGTACTTCGAAGGGGATTGAAGGTTTGTGCTTAAAATTTGAATAAATAAGTTAAAAAAAAAATAAGTTCGGTTTCTTTTGGGTACCCCCTCGTATATCGTGTTTCGTGATGTGTGTTCCCTTTTTGGCTGCGGCTGTTGTAATCTTTATAGAATTTGAGACTCTTACAACTGTTGTTAAGAAGAGCCCTATCATCTGGGGCGTTTCGGAAGAACATATTACTGGAGACGTGGGCGACATGTTACTCCGAAACATGGGTTGACTTTCAACTGAATACACGGGATTATATTAAAAAATACAGGTCTCTTCAGCGCTGTCTCTGCCTGTAATTCGTTGATAAAATAAATGTATGTATATTCTGTGCTCTGGAAGGAATATGTTTTGTTCTTCTTCTTTCAGATTCGCCCGGCTTCATGTGGTAATCTTCATCTCTATAAACCACATGATGTAACACACCGAGACAGGAAACATTAGCAGGAATGTCACTGAGTCTAAGCTGGAATTGATGCCCTTACTCGGCCTGGCAAGTTGTTGAAGTTGTTCGAAGAGATTGTGGACAGCCACGCAAAGTCAGCTGTGTTTTTTTTTTAAATAAAGTGCTGTGAGAGGTTATCGTGAATCAGTTTAATAATTAATTGTTGTCTATATACCTGAATCAGACAACGCGTGACTTCAAGAATGCAATTTATATTATATTTAACCTTGATGTTATTGATTTAGAAGCACTGATCACAATTTCGGATAAAAATAGTTCCTTGAATGGACTGGTTTTGGCTATTTTAATACGGGTTTTAGGCCACATACGTTTCTTAATTTATGCATTCTGTTGAAATTTAGGGTTTTTTTCTTTTAACTCGTATATTTAAAACAAAGACATAACAAAATTAATAAATGCAGGAAGTAAAAATTTGCATCACTGCCAGATTTTAGAACACGGTTTAAAATAAGAAACTGAAATATTTTATAGTAACAAGAATTTATTCGTGTTTTAATAGGATAACCTTGATACTATTAGCAATTTGGTTTTCTGTGCGACGTATGTGAGTATATAAGTTGACAAGAAATTTTGTGATCAAAACCTGTGCAATTTTAAATTTTATCTTAACAGTGCTGTGTGTTTTGGCAGTGATGACTTAATGGCAGGGCTGTTTTAGTATATAAAGGAGAGTGAAGAGACTTCAATATAATTTGACCGCTATCTTCGCCTACAAAATGATGCTGGTCTGCTACATCGTTGGAGGCGTCTTACTTGCTCTTGTGGCCCTGCACCTTTTCCTGGAACTGCACTACTTCCTGCGGATGTGCCTCTCCGTCATCATTGCCAGGTTCTGCAAGAAAAGGGTGAAGATCCTAGACGATACATACATCCATGGTAAGTTAACCTTGATTAATATCTGTTGACTTACAATTATATGTTTATTAATTTTAAAATATCTTTAAAGGGGCATCATTATCAAACAGTGATATATTTAAAAACATAAATTTGTATCTTCTTAATTAATTAAGCACTAAGACATGGAGACTTATGGGGGAATAGAGATTTAGCGCCATCATTCTTAACTTCGGCACCAGGTGGAAGTAAGTGGCCAGCTTCACGTCTCGGATGATTTACCCCCGAGGAAAGAGCCCCCGGTACCTGTGGATAAGAAGCCGGGTAGGCCCCAAACCCGGTCTCTTCGACGTGAAGAGGAGAAAAATATTGCCCATGCCTCGACTCGATCTCCGACCCCTTGGCCGTCCAGCCCGTACCCAGTCGCTATACCAACTGAGCTATTCCGTATATTTGCAGAATACAACAGGAAACAGAATGTCCATATCCGAGATCCTGTTGAACGTTCAGGACTTCTTTGTAAAGTTGGCTACTCAAGGTGTGACGCACACTGAAGCAAGTTTTCAGATAATAGCAAAAATATAGGAATATTCAGTTCTTGGAAAGAGTTCTGTCTTCTTGGATATAGAGCAGTCTAGCACGTTGAAAGTCAGCAGACGTTTCGGCCTACCCTGAAGACGGAGGCGACATGTTCCAACGGACTACACTGCATTATATTCCAGAAGATAAAACTGTTCATAACCACCGGCGTCAGAACCTCAACATCTGCATTCATTTCGTACCTCACGTAAACACACCGGGGCACGCGGTAGCATAGTTGCCTGAGGCACTATGCTACAAGCCGGAAGATCGCGGATTCGATTGCCGATGAGGTCATTTGATATTTTTCAATTGATGTAATCCTTCCAGCCGCACTATGGCCCTGGGGTCGACTCAACCTCTAACAGAAATAAGTACCAGGAACCTTCCTGAGGGATAAAGGGAGGCAGATGCGTAAGGCTGACAACCTTACTGTTATGTGTGAACCGTTTGCATAGAAAATCTGGGAGCCTCGACGTCTAACAACCCTATGGGCCTCCACGGCCTGTTAAAGTAATAGCTTTACCCTTTACCTTTACATTTTAGGTACACACACTACCCGTCCCATTCAAAGATCAAGCCCGTAATGCTGGTCAAGGAAAGTTAAATTTGGTACGCCGGTTGCACCGCTGTGCCAGGTAACATGATCAGTGGCGGGCTGTTGTGAGCACGGTAATGAACATCTGGTTTCTACAACATGTGAGAAATTTCTTGAGTAGCTGAGTGACTATCAGCTTGTCGAGAAGGGCTCTACGTTGTGAAGGTTGGTTTCTGCAGCAGTTAAGTAGCCTGAAATGGGGAGGGTGGAACTGGTTCACCCCGTTCTGTGTAATGGACGCGTCCGAGCTCTTGAGTCCCGGGATCAATACAAGAGACCGGCAGGCGCGGGCTTTGAAGCTGTGCACCTCGTGGTAAGGGTCTCCGCTCATGTCTGCATTCCCTCTGCATATGCTCAGCTGCTGGAGCTGTCAAAGCGCCGCCCTCCGCCGGATCAGCTGTTTCCTGAAGCAAGACAGTTGTGTTCAGACAGAACACTAACAGCCTGCTTTCCGCAAGCAGCGGGCGGGTTGGCGCAGCCATAAGTCTGTGTTCATACACAACACTAACAGCCTGCTTTCCGCAAGCAGCGGGCGGGTTGGCGCAGCCATGAGTCTGTGTTCATACACAACACTAACAGCCTGCTTTCCGCAAGCAGCGGGCGGGTTGGCGCAGCCATGAGTCTGTGTTCATACACAACACTAACAGCCTGCTTTCCGCAAGCAGCGGGCGGGTTGGCGCAGCCATGAGTCTGTGTTCATACACAACACTAACAGCCTGCTTTCCGCAAGCAGCGGGCGGGTTGGCGCAGCCATGAGTCTGTGTTCATACACAACACTAACAGCCTGCTTTCCGCAAGCAGCGGGCGGGTTGGCGCAGCCATGAGTCTGTGTTCATACACAACACTAACAGCCTGCTTTCCGCAAGCAGCGGGCGGGTTGGCGCAGCCATAAGTCTGTGTTCATACACAACACTAACAACCGACGCTTCCTCTCGTCGAAGAGGAGGCCTCATTTCTAAACACGTACATGTCTAGGACAACAAAAATCTTGGACATGAATCTCGAGGAGATTGAAGCCAGGAATAACTGTGCTGGCGAAGTCCAACAGAACTTCAACCGACCGATCGCTGAGTCAGTGGAGTTGTGAGAAAATCTGCGGCCAGTAAGGACGTCAAACATGGAAGCTGAGGAATTTACGTCGTTCAGAGCCATCACCAGGCGACGACTAGTGAAGACATAAATTGAAATACAGGATTTTACTGTTAAGATAGGCGGTATGTAAAGTAACTTGTGTATTTAAAGGACCGACGGATGTGACGGCCTGCACTGGACTTTTTTTTTGGTTCAGAATCGGTTCCCGTTGGGTACTATTACAAACAAAGCATTGGCTGCCCTGTTACAGTATAGGAAGATTATTTCTTGTAGAATTTGAGGTTCTCACAGTGATGTCCTGTCTTCTGGGATATAACTTTTGTAGTCCGTTGAAAGTCAACCGACTATATCGCATGATATCCGTTAAGATAGTATTCTCCAGAGTTTCATAAGGAGGAATTTATTTCGTGGAGGTAGTTCCTTCTTATCCGGGTAAAATGGCTCTTTCCCTTGACCCTTCCAGTCAGAAGGATTGGAAAGCTTGACATTGTGGTACCTCGAAGAATGGCACCTTATACTCTAAATTAATTAGTGTTATCTTAATAATATCTTGTGTTAATTAGCAGACCGAACTTCACGTCATAAAATGAAAGCTGGGAATTTAAACGCTACAATATATGCATGTGTTTTATATGATTCTTAAATTATTTCCTTAAGTGGGATTAACCGATTGGCCTTTTCCATGGAGACTTGGTTTTCTGTGATGAGGGGAATATCCGTTTTCTCACAGAAATAGGAGCGATATCTGAAGGTTCCCAGAGCCATCAGATAGTAAAATTTGGCCATGAGCCCTGTGGGAGGCTCCCACGTATTTTGTGGCGAGATTATATCCACCTTTTCACTTCCGTATTGCGGAACATTGAGACCGTGTCCACGTTATGCCGGCATACGGGGGCGGGGGGCGGNAACCTTTGTTGGGTGACTTAAACATAGTCCCATGAAAACGATTAGCATACGAGAATGAACGGTGTTTTCTATGTATCCGCCCCGAGGTTATATAACGGGAAGAATTGTGGAAGTCTTTAGAGAGAGAGTCGGCAGTCGAAGATGACTGAGAAGAACTGGCAAGAAAAGAATTAGGATGTAAAAAGAAAAAAAGACTTCGTGTATGTTGCAGGGATAGTGAGATTGTAATAAATCCGTTACCAGGAGACGACTAGTGAAGACTGGGAACACCAGTGTGTGTGTGTGTGTGTGTTTTGTGTGATGTATTGGTGTGTGCGTGCGTGCGCGCGCCCCGTTAATTTTTAAATGAAATGTGTAAATTAGCGTTGGCGCCAGATCACTTTTAGTTACGAGTTGAGTGAAGTAATTCCAATTATCCAACCCAAAACCCGTCAGTAATCACTAATACACGTGACAGTATTATTCAAAAGATTTTTCATGTTGAACTTTAAAATGTAAGAATTATGAATTTTTTAAGAAAACAAAAACACACTACAAGAACTAGAAGAACTAAAATATGTTTCTTATTCATCTTTGCTGCAATTTAAGTTTTTGATAAGTTTACGCTGATGTTGACCGCCTTTGTGGCCAAGTGGTCAAAATTCCTGGCTACAGATCCAGAGGTCCCGGGTTCGATTTCCGGCGCTACCAGATTTTCTGAGAAGTAGTGGGTCTGGAACGGGGTCTGCTCAGCCTCGTGACGATGACTGAGGAACTACTTTAATTGAAAAGTAGCCGCTTCGGTCGAGAGAACTGAAATTAACGGCCGTGGGGATTCGTTGCGCTGACCACGCGTCACCCTCTGTCCGCTAAAGTTGGCACTAACTTCAACAAGCGGCGGACGCTCAGTCGGTTTAGTTCGCTTGCGGACTAAAACCACGGAATTTGTTGTTTTTTTTGTTACGCTGATGTTCTCGCTTTCATTTCTCCAGTAGCAGTTCATAATTAAGAAAACTCCCGACAGAAGCGTTGTACACAGGACTAGATAGTGCAGAATTTGGAAGTCGGCTGCCAGAATTATTGGACGCCATTTTTCACTAATCGAAAGAGGCCGCTTCGATTTATCTTTCAGAAACAATGCAAATGCAATCTTTATTATTTAAATCTCTTCGCATATTTCATCCAAGTTGACAGCCGGCTTCAAAAGTATAACAGATGCTTTGAAGTCAGTACATGTTGGTTCCTTTTTCAGCAATAGAAACTGGATTTTATTCAGGTACTTCTCAGAAAATTCAAACAACTTTTCCAGATATTCGAGAGATTGCTCATCGAAGGCTAGGAAGTCTATCTTAATAGAAATAGTTTTTTTTTTCACCGTAACAACTTCTATTTTTATTCGCCAATAAAATGTCTTCACTCTTAGGTTCAATTTGTTTCTCAATTTTTGCATCAGAAGATACCGATCTGGTCCTGTAATATAGTCCCATTCTATTTCTTGTGTATTGGAGAGTTAAACGTGCGTTTTTGAGAAAGGCACAATATACCGGCATTACATGGTTTTCCTCTACAACTTCCTCACCACTCTCTCACACCACCAGACTTAGAAACCCGGCGAGGACAATCGTCCACTACTAATGGTGGGAAATGTGATTTAACAGCAACACACCTTTCGAATTGCAGGGTGTCAAGTTGGCTGTCTGCTTCCCACATAACGCAATGAATTCCTATAGTCTTCAAATACATTTACTTTAGCACTTCGGTGGGTTTTGCAGGAGCAGAAATTGTTTCAATGTCTGTACCAGACTTTCAGTATGGATATGCAGTTTGTTTTGTACAGTTTTTCAAAACATGTGCAAGACAATTGACACGTTGAATATGTGGAATGCTG